CATCCCATCCCTCTGGAAACCGTGCAGGGCAAGTTTGTCAAGTAAATCGTGCCGGTTGATGGGTAGTGTATGATCCGCGTCCTCGTTTCTCCCACCAGCGATAGTTTCGGGATCAAAGGAAGGGCAGCAGTGTATTATTCTCGTCCGTTTCTGTATTTATTATTGTGATTTTCCACGATTTTTTTTATGAATATTTCGCTATACGGGAAAGTGATTAGCGGTCGTTCATGCTGTTAAACTGCATTATCCAAAAAATGGTTGACCCTAGGACATATAAAATTAACACATTGGAGTAATGGGTATTCTGTGAGGGTTGCTTACAAACCCCTGCCTTAGGGGAGGGATAGCCGTTTACCTATTGGAAAAGTTCAGAATAAATCCTTGGTTTATCTGCAGTTTAATGAAAGTAAAAAAAAAATACCAGCCAACTAGAAAAAAAAGTATCCTTTCTCAAGGTGTTTCCATAACAGCTCATCTCAAATGTAGAAAAAATGTGTGCACAACGAAAATATAGTCAAAAGAGGCTAAATCGAACTGTAGTGAATAATATCAACTCCACCAGTATGACATTAAATACGCATATCATTCGCTTTGGACATGGTGGGAATTTTTGATTTGTCCTTATAATGAAGCATAGCCACGAAGGAGATGTAAAAAAATGCAATATGTCGAAAACATCCCTCGCGCTAACACCAACAACCTTTGATCCTGCTGCTTATCTAGTCCACTTTCAAGGTCATGCGAATATTCATGGCTCCCAGTTCAGAGGCCAGGTATTTAAATACATATGGTAAGGAAATCACTGTAATACCGTCCGCGGTAGCACAGGTCTTGCATTCCACCACCGACTTGTACTTGCTAAATTCACGACTACCTGGGTTGGCAAAGGCACTGGGCACGTTGACGGGAGACACGATGGATCCGCACAGCTTACAGACGTGGGTCTGGCAGTAATCCGAGCAGTGAAGAAGACGATCCTGGAGGAGATAGGCCGTTCCGTGAGCAATCAGCGAGTCACGTTCCATTTCACCAAATCGAATACCACCGGCACGTTTACGACCCTTGACGGGTTGTCGAGTCAGTGGGTTAATGGTACCCGTGGATCGCACCTGGAATTTATCATTTACCATGTGACGCAGGCGTTGGTAATACACCACCCCAAAGTAAATATCGGCCTCGAATTCTTTACCAGTGATACCGCTGTACATGGGTTCGTTACCGTAATAGTTGAACCCCGCTTTGGCTAGCTGTTCCCCAAAGTGTTCGGAAGCCGTATAATCCTCGCTAAATTGGAAAGGCGTACAATCCTGAGGGTTACCATGCATCGCCCCAGCCTTGGCTGCCATACTTTCTACGAACATCCCTATAGTCATTCGGGACGGGAAAGCGTGTGGGTTAATGATGACATCGGGCTGGACTCCAGATTCCGAAAAGGGCATGTCCACTGAGGGCCATTTCTGGGAGCACACCCCCTTTTGTCCGTGACGAGAAGAAAATTTATCACCAATCAATGGGGCTCGCGGAATGCGTACCACAATCTTGATGCGTTGTAATGGTCGGGTGATATCATCCTGGCCGAGCAAACGGACCGAGTCTACGTACCCCTCCTCGGGTCCTTTGTAGGATTTCACCACGGTACGCTTGCGTTCAGTATCATAAAACGCATAAAATGCATCGCCTGCCTTCAAATGGGCCCCTACAAACGGTAACCCGTCCACGTCCAAGGTACGACGGGCTGGCGAATCTTCATCCATTTCCCCTAACCCAAACTGTAGCGTGACTGGTCCTCCCCCACGTCGGGCTTGGGACGTAAGGTCCACTAATTCTGACTTGTACACCGAACCGTAGGCAAACCCGCGCTCGTGCCCGGACTTGTTCAAGATCATAGCGTCTTCCATGTCGTACCCGGTGTAACTAATGACCGCCACACATGCGTTGGTGCCATTGGGATATTCATCAAAGGCATATGCGTTGTGTAGACGAGACCGCACAATGGGGGTCTGACCGGTTTGCAGCACATACAATTTGTTGTCCGAACGGCACTTAAGAGCCTGGGCAGGGGTTCCCATGGTTTGTTTACCCATCTGACACTGGTACATGTTACGGGGACTGGGGTTAAAATCGGAAAAGGGGGTCATGTTGGCCAGTACACTCATGATGTAGGTGGGCGCGTACTCTTGGTGGGTAGTCACATTAGGGATGACATCTTCGTCAACACACGCAATGTCCATATACACTTGCTCAAAGGATCCCACTATGTCGTAGTTAGCTTTGCTTGACAAGTATTTCACAGGGCGAACCATACGGCACGGTGTGGTAAACAGGTACAGCCCGGGGTATTGACCACCATGGGAGACGGGAACGTAACCGATCTCCATGTCCAAAGGCAAGTTGTGTTGTTTGCTCACTTTCAAGTGACGCAGTTTGCGGGCGATATCCACCGCTAGATGAGGAGAGCAGTAGCCGATCACACGGCCGTCCAATTGCACCGTAATGTGGTTGGGATTGCTGACGTGACCATGTAAAACTTGGGACATACCCAATGAAACCAAGAGGCCGGGAAGTTTGCTTACATCCGGAGTACGGTGAGATACTTGGCAAGTGTAGCTGAGATGGTTCAGCAAACCGCAAGGCGAACCGTCTGGGGTATGGACTGGGCATAAGAATCCCCAGGATTCGGGTCGTAGCTTACGCACGGTGGTAGTCTTCATTTCAGCAAAAAAGGCACCACGATGTATGCAACGAAAGTGGGCCAGGTAGCGCAAAAAGTTGATGCGTTCTGCAATAATCACGAAACCACCACTTTGCAGTAAATCTAGACCGCTACGACTAACGAGGTTACCAGTGGACAAGAAATAGTGCAGCTTTCGGCCCACATCGGGGTTACTGCGTCTGAGCATACGGGTGACGTAAACTGGGTCGGAAAAGTTGCACAAGCGGCTCCCCCGGGAGACGTCCTGACGGATACGGAAGAGAATGTTATCCAGGTACCCTTCCAGATTTTCCTTGAGCAATCCCGTGTAAATTTGACCGGGTAAAAGGACCTCTTGGTTTTGGGCCGAATCAGCGTTATCGGGGGAGCATTCCCCGGCCACCAAAGCGTACAACTTCTGGGCCATGGCCACCAGCACGTTAAACTTCTCTTGGTTGTCAGTGACATGTACCGAGATACACTGACGCAGCAATTCCTTACCAATTTGGGCAGGAGTGTATTCTTCGGGAAGACTCAAGGCCGAATGGAATCGGACACCAAGGTATTCTAGGCATTGCTGTTGGGTGAAAAGCCCCAGAGGGGAGAAACTACGAAGAAGAAGCTCGATCCGTTCAGTCAGGAAAGTGTTCTCCACATCTCCTCTTGCAAGAGCCAGAAATACGTCCCTGTCACTGGTATCCACGAGGGCACGTAGGATGATCATATAGGGTACCAAGTACTCACGCTTATCAATGTAAAACCGGAGGGTCAGCACCCCGTTGCTTAGGTAATGGAGAGTCATGGTAGAAGAGGATTGGTCGGGTCGCACACAACGTATACTGGTACCATAAGTAGTATAGGCTGGCCCACGATCAGCGAAAGTGGGACGGTTGATGCCCATGATGTAATTACGGCGTTGTGCAATCAACAGTCTAACAATCTTTTCGTTACCGTTGATGACAAAGTACCCTCCGAAATCCTCAGATTCTTCACGGTGACGAATGTGTTCCTTCGGGGACAGGTGCTCTGTATTGCACCGATTGGACTTGACCATAACCGGCAGGTAACCCATAGGACACACGTCGGAGAGTACGGGTCCGTGATTGACGCGCCAACACACTTTAGCCTGAAGCTTTCCCTGATAGCTGGTGCTGCAGTCGCGTGCCTCGCTGGGGTATATACGCTGGATATGAGATTGATCTCCCCCCAGGTTCGCCATCGGCTTCGTCAAATCTACACTATCGATCCAAAACTGGATACGGTTACCCAGTTTGTTGGTTGACGTTTGTTCACCATGATCTTCTTCATCGCTGTCCTCAATATACGCCGCACTTTTAGCCCCTTTCAAGTGATCATGTACCACCTTGGGCGGGATATCTTTTAGGGCAGCTGAGATCCACGAGGGAGAAGAATCCGTTCCTTGGAAAATAGCGTTAAACGAATCGATATGCGGTGCTGCTAGGGAATGTAACGCCGGGTACTGAAATTGGTTCCCAGGATTCTCATGCACTCGTTTTCTTTCGAGGGTGCCAAAGCTCCCCACCGAAGGGACGGGTTCTTGTGCGACAGTGGACATGGTGAAAGAATACTAACAGTTGACAAGAATTGGACTCTCCTTCAAAAACAACAAAATACGAATAAACTCGGTAGGGTCAATCCGGAAGAAATCGTCAGCGGCTGGGCGCTTTCAAGTCAGCTTGTATGCTTAGACTGCAAGGTATGTCTAATATAGGAATAAAGAGGACACAATGTTGCTCGTCCGTTTCCGAGGTAATTTAAATGAACACCCCAAAAACCTCTTGAGTTACACACCGAATAACAATTGAAAACGGAAAAAATAGACGTTAGGTATACGGCTAAAAGCCTGGAGCAAGTGAACGAAAAAGTAATAATTTGACAGTCTTGATAGTTGTAGGCTTCGCTCAGTGAACAAAATTCCGGCTCGTTAGTGTAAATTAAAAAAAAAAAAGGAGAAAAAAAAAACTTGAACGCGGATCGCAGGGCAAAAGCGAAAGATCACGTGGCCACAAATCCTCAGTCGTTGAAATGCGCATAGAGCTACTAGGTTTACAGCTTCGCTCGTAAAGAATACTCTTGCAGAAGGGAGATAACTCTAGGAATGTTAGATGTTGACCATAATGTTCAAGAAAGCAATTTCAAGGAAAATTAATCACTATATTTCAACAAGTGCGCGATATGTAATTTTCCAAATGTGAAATCTTCAGCAGGTAGAAAAATAAAAATGCTACTACGATTGGAATGGATGCAAAATATACAATAGAGCATAAAACAAGCTCTTTTCATGAAAGCTTCTTTGGCTCAGTTGGCAGAGCGTCCGCCTAGTAAGCGGAAGGTCGTCAGTTCAATTCTGGCAAGAAGCATTCACTTTTTGATCTTTTTGGGAGGGGGCAGAATTTTTTTCAAAATTTCCCGCTTTTTTTTCAAAATTCCCATCCGTTGAAGTTTAGGGAAAAGTTACCCGCTCTGAGTCAGAGAAATATTGGTTGCAATTTAGATGCCATACCTAGCCAGAACAACTCAGTTTTTAGTGCAGAATTATTGGATAATTATGATGCTCTTTTCCAGGAATATAACCATTAGCGTCACTCTGGAAAAAGTTGTGAAGACTCATGCATTTTTTTTCAAATTAACGGGATGCATTTGCTTGTTCTAGATTTAAATTACGTTATTTACAGAAATAAAGTTGACTGATGTGGTCTATCATCAATGGCTTTTACACTATTTTACCCATTTTTGGAAACATTTCTCCATTTCTATGTCAGAAGTAGGTTATGATTTCACTCTGTATTATTCGCATGGAATATGGCTTTTTGATCAGTTTATTAGTCAAATCATCCTGATATAGCCATACCCAGTCAGGTGTCATAGAGTTTCATCTAGTATAAAGTTGTCAGACACATAAAATGATTAAAAATCATATTCCCTTTTATTTACATTGTTGAATGCATCAATTGCTTGTAGAATTCTATTGTGAACGTACTACTAAATTTTGAGTATTTGAGATACCCGCTTTTATTGATTCCATCCACATGAACCATAAGCACAAAATGACAATGTCAGAACTAAAATAAACCAGAAAACTGGCCACCCAGAAAATAAAAAAGTTATGTGACCCCTGGCGGAAAGCAAAAAAAGAAGAAAGCTATAGCACCATCTATTCCCAAGTAGTCTCCTTCCTTAGTACTAGGATGGCTTACATGTGCTTAACTACGCAGGTCTAACGGGATGCGGTGTTATCACAAGAATTTGGCCACAGCTCGAAAGTAGACGTTCGCATGAGCTCCTAAGGTGTGAAAGTTTTGAACACTGTCCTTACCTTTGAGCCATTGGGTGGCTTTTTTTTAAAAAAAATAATCTTATTTTCCCTATTTTTACATCAATTTTTCAAATATAATATCCTTAATTTTGTTCAACGTACATCGCAATCAGGAAAAATGCTATAATAGTTAAAGCTTTAGTGATATCAGATTATTGCAGGGTATATTTAATTCCGGTGGACATATGTCACTGTTGTATAGAAATAGCTACACTCACAGGTAAAGAACTTGGTAAATATGCCAGTACCAGGATCCCATACAAATAGGCCTTGGGTTTCATGCGATAGCAGGGCTCACATAGATGAACCTGTACTCAAACTACTTGAAGCACCACCCTACTCTCCTGATCTTGCACTATGCGACTTTTGGTTGTTCTTATATGTGAAGAAAAATCAGGATGATAGAATGTTTGAAAGAGTTGACGAGATTATAGGGGAATATAATGAAGTCCTTATATCTCTATAACCAAGTGACCTTTACTGATATCTCGATGAGTGACTTAATAGGGTTCACGAAGTGCTTGACAGTGATAGTAATTATTACTAATAAATTTTGGTATGATGAGGTCATATAGCACTTACAAGTACTTACATATGGTCGAAAGAATTACAATTATCGATACAGGAAAATCTAAAAATAGCATATATTAAGACATCCATCTATCTGCTACAATATTGATACGCTACTTGGCGAAACAAAGCGAATTTATGACTCCCTTGTGAAGCCTAGTATGTACGTATAATTACAACCTATTTAGAGTTCATCGAGATGAACAGGTGGTGGTCAATGTCTTTGACCATCGAGTGTACCGCTAATTAGTGGGTACACGAAAATTGCACCTGGCAGCAAGAAAGTTGGGAACGGGAGATTTCGTTAGAAAAAGTGGTAATTTGCGTCTGTTCGGGGATTTCTCGGGTCTGACATAACACTGCAATACCAATCACACAAGGAATAGCCGAGCCCACTCCTATTATGGTGACGGTGCTAAAGATGGATAACGAAAGGGCGACCCAGTCCGCATACGCCTGAACGGGGCTAACGAGACGTTCTGACTGAGGGTCACGAAACACTGGAGGAGGGGCCTCCAAGCAAATGAATTCCGAAGGTATTGATACAAACTCTGGGAGTGCCGCTACCGTGGGTGTGCTTTGGCCTACTGGGGGTTTGGGCCGATTAGTAGCATCCTTGGTTGTTCGTTCATGTCGACGGCTTCTCTGTGGTGGTGAGAAAGTAGCGGTTGGGGATTGACCTTCCCTGGAAGGATTCGATGCGGTAGGGGAACCTGTAGAGACACTGCTCCGTTTGCCCTGGCCTTGACGATGCTGCGTAGGCCTCGCATGCCTGGATTGCCGCGACGATGTGGTTGTAGGTTGCATTCCCTTCGTAATAAGCTACGATATAAGGTAGTACCAATGAATTGCCCTAACAAAAATGCCAACTGTGTTATAAATTATAATAAACTGAGAACAAAGTGTGAAAAGTGACAAGCAAATTCTAAAGCATACCACCCACATGGAAAGCAAGCATACAATTTTTTTTACTAGAGAGGTCTTAGAGGCCAGCTGGCTGGTTTTTTTTTCAGCCATATAGAGGTGAATCCGCCGAATTTGATTGCATCACATACATAAATTCATTGGATCCGTTAAGCTGTTAGTACTCTGTTTAAATTTCTATATAGAGGAAGAATATCATTCACAGTACTTCGATAACCCGAGTAATATGGGGGATATTTTTCACCTGAATAGTGACTTAAATGAGGTACTAGCAACAGATTTAACGAATATGCTTTTTTGTGAGCCCTGGTCAAATCCAGTAGATTTTACCCTATATTGTTGGAAAATGACTAGCCAGTTGAAGGCGATATCCATGTGATGGTAAGCTACAAGTGGTGTTTATTTGTTGATTTCGTACATCTCAAGTGCCCTCTACATAATCAAAACTTATCCTTGCCAGTCTAGTTACAACATCTCCAGTTAATGCTTTGACAATGACAGAAAAAAGAATACCAGAATGGTTGTAGATGGGTCACATTTCGTACAGCACCGCATATCACCTTTGTAATATAAATGTGACATCAAGGAAAACGAGGGCGACGAGGTCCGCGTGAACCGTAGGAATGTGGTGGCGGCGGAGGGGGAGGCGGCGACGAACGGCGGTTACGAGAGGGTGGAGGCTGGTTGGCGTATGGATGGTAACCATGGTGACTTCCCCGAGGTGGGGAGCGTCGAGAACCATAGGAGCGAGGAGGGTGACCACGGGAACCCGGGGGTGGAGAATGATAACGTCCACCGGAATGGTGTTGATCACCGCCGTGGGTCATTGGAGGTGGTCGTTGTGAAGGATATCCTAACGACCCGTTAGCGGAAGGTTGATACGAACCGTTGCCAACACCAGCGGTGTTATGATGACCTAGTCCGGGAGCGGGCATGGTGGTACGTTGACCCAGTCCCGGGGGCCTATCATTCCTTGCCGCCTGATAAATGGCCGAAGGATGTGGTGGGGGAGCCTGCTGACCGTGACCACCACGGAGGTTCGATAGTCCTGGTACAAACGACGTGTCCGCCGGTTCGTCTTCTTGGGCTGCGAGCGCTTCTTCCACCGAGTTGGGCAGGTGCTGGTTCTCCACTTTGACCGCACTGTCCGGTCGGTAGCGAGAGTAAAACCGGGTGGTGTGGTCATTAGAACCCACGGCCAGTAGGTGGCCGGCAGGATGCCAATCAATGGACCATACAGGATAATCGGGTGTAACTTCCATGCTGGACACAGGCCCAGGCTGGTCCACTAACCATTGGAATAGCGTACCATCGTACCCACCGGTGGCAAAAAGACGTTCGTGAATCGGGTGCCACACGATGGTGGTAACGTCCTTTTTGTGACCACGTAGAGTTTGCATTTCTTTCATGGTGCGGATATCGTACAGTTTAACGACCTGTTCCCGAGACACGACACCCAACCAGTGGCCGTTGCGATTCCATTTGAGGCCCATGATGGTGCTCTTGTGGCCGTGGAGTGTGTTGAGACAGTCGCGTGTTTTGGGATCCCACAACCGAATCGTATTGTCCTTACCACCCGATGCCAGCAATCCCTTGTACGGGTGCCAGTCCACGCAACGCACATCCCAGCCGTGACCCATGAGTTCTCGTTCCTGTTGGCCTTCGTTAAAGTTCCAGATCTTGATGGATCGGTCATCAGAACACGTGGCGAATTTCATATCACTGGGGGAAAACGAAAGCCCACGAATGGCTTCTTTGTGCCCCTGAAACTTTTTTAAATTGTTCATATTGGACTGCCAGTACTTGATTACGCCAGTGTGGTCTGCGGTGACTAGCCAGTTACCGTTGTGGCTCCATTCCATGACCCGTACCGCCGAGTCATGAGCCTGGAGTAGGGTTTCGAAATTAAACGATAGTCCGTTCCACAGTGTGAACTCACCCCGGGACGATCCTGTGGTCAAACGGCGACCGTCGGGGTACCACCGTACCACGTTGATGGGGCACCGTGCTTTATTCACCGAAGTATGTACGAAATGGGCAGCTACGGCATTGACAGGACTGTCAGGCAAAGCAGCTGGGGCTAGAAGATCGATAATGTAATCGCGACCGATACGGGTGAACCATTGCCGAGGCTTCCGCATACGCTCGATGCGCGTTTCAATACTTCGGGCCACACCAGCAGTGTAATCCAACGTTCGTCGTTTAACAGGCCCACGAATTTGTTTGCCATCGAATTGTCGCCGTGGGGCCGAAAAGTCCATAGGCGGTAACGGGGCATCCATGGTAAATTGGCGTGCGATTACGACAAAAAAAAGTTTGTAATATTCAAATGTTATGGTACAAAGCGTGTGATAAAACTCTGTCGCCAGGTGGTTAAAATAATGGACTCGATAGTTGCGGACTACAAGCAAATTATACAAGGAGGAACCAAGAAAAACAATATTCAAGATGTACCACGTCAAAGGAACTGAACCGCGTTTAGATCGTCGACCTACGAAAACGATACAAGACTTTCGAATTCTAACACGGCTTCAATCCAAAAACTGATTA